GGGGGGGGGGGGAGGAGTATATTTATATACCTTTTACAAAAAATGAGATTGTCGTGAATTTTAATAGATAAACATCTAATGACTACTTTGGCTTTTACCATTTGCCTTAAAAATTAATTTTAAGTTGTTAAAATGTGTTTTAAGTAGTATAATAAGTTGACTCGCTGTGGGGTGGAAAAGTCTTGAGAAATAGACACTTGGGCGCCCTTTGCTGTCTATCTATCTATCTATCTATCTATATAATGCTAACTCTACAATATGGTATTGATTGTAAGCTTAGCCTATCTACTGTATAATGGCATGGCCCACTAAAAAGTCCAGACGTAAGCCTTGAAGGAACTCTTTGAAACACATGTTCTTATTGGTCGACATTTCAAATAATTTTCGTTTTTCCACAATTATCATTTATCGGCCGATTTTAGACTTAACCCAGATTAAACGAAAGTCGAACAAATTTTGAGCTAAGTTTATTATGATTATACAGTAAGCTTACTTCAGAATTAGTATACAAAACAGTGATACTTGCACACATCTGTGTGGACTTATGATTTAAATGAAAGACTATTTTATGCCTATAATTATTCAACATTTAAAGACATAATTCTTTTTTTTTTTTTAATACCTGAAGGTTTCCTCTCATTTGTACCCATATCACGTGGCTAGTTTTGGGGAATATTGCAACATTTTATTTCGTTGTCAATGACAATTTTTATCAGTATTATAATGATGAATGTTAATGAATGAATGAATTGAATAAACCCAGTGTTCCCTAGTAATTTTTTTTTTTGGTGATAAAAATTCGCATTTACAGCAATGCTACAGTGAGACGTTGCTTCTACAACAGCAAAACATCGCTCCTAATGAGGAGGACAGCAACATTTTTTTGGCGAGGAGTCATTTTTAAAAATAAAATCACATCTTTTTTTTTAGCCTAGATTAGTTTTTAATATATATATTATATATATATATATAAATTAGCTGCATATATTTTATACATGCATACTATCTATATGAGCATAGATGCGCAAAAAAAATAAATAAAAGAGCCCCCCCCCCCCCAGCACTCCAATGAGCCGCATGTTGTTCCGGAGCTGTGAGTTGCCGGCCACTGGTCTAGTATATAACCACATTCCATTAGCCGGACAAAAAAAAAAATAAAAAACCCCCCCCCCCCCCAGCACTCCAATGAGCCGCATGTTGTTCCGGAGCTGTGAGTTGCCGGCCACTGGTCTAGTATATAACCACATTCCATTAGCCGGACGTAATTCATCCAGAAATGAGAAGAAGCACACAGCAAGCAGGCGACGACTTTAGGTCCATACGTGTAAAATGACCTAATCTAAATGACTTGTAGACGAGGTTGCTCTTGCCCGTTTTTTTCCGGTGGCGTTTAGAAGAACGCACAAAATGACGTCATTCAATCGATTTTACGAATAATATGAATCCCAAGAAGAGAAACACGTGATTGCCACCAGTTCATGGAGAGCAGAAAAGTTTTCGAGGGTCTCTGTTTGTTTATCTGAGTGTTCATGTGTGTGTGTCTGTGTGTGTGTGTGGGGGGGGGGTGTTAGTGTGGAAAAGGGGGGGGGGCTGATCTTGTCATGCGCACAAAGTTGAGCATTTCCGTTGATAATTACTTTAAAAATAAATATAAACATTGACAGACACGTCTTCAGCACCTTTCACAATTCTTACGGACAACCCAGTTTTTCTACAGACACGTTTTTTTTCCAAATATCCTTTACGACTTCGTTTGTTTGGCCATGAGGCCTGTGGCTATTTTATTGTATCGTATTCTCAGCTGTGTTGAGTCTCATCCTAATTATTATCATACAAATTTATAGCAAGAAAGATGTTACCTATCTTAAATGCTGATTTTTTTGGCCTTTCTTTGTTTCACTTCAAAAGAAGCTATGTACAAAATCTCATTTTTGCAGACCTCTAAATTTTTGGGGGGAATTTTAAGGACTAGAGATTTTAGTTCACATTTTCACGGGCTATCCGTAAACTTACGGAAACTGAAAAACTTACAGACAGTTGACAACTCTGGTGAAAGGGCATTTCCATGTTGTGTGTAATGGCAGTTCCATGTTGTGTGTGATGGCTGTTCCATGTTGTGTGTAATGGCTGTTCCATGTTGTGTTTAATGGCAGTTCCATGTTGTGTGTAATGGCAATTCCATGTTGTATGTGATGGCTGTTCCATGTTGTGTGTAATGGCTGTTCCATGTTGTGTATGATGGCTGTTCCAAACCGTGTGGGTTTTCAATTCACAATAAGGAAAATAAATACTTTTTTGTGCGTGTTTCTACAGGTATGTATTACAACTTATAAAACAACACCAGTGGTATTAGAATTTCCAACTGCACGCACCCCCACGCGCCCCCTTCCCCCCCCAACCCTTCCTCTTCCTAGAACCCCCGCAACAAAAAACTTGCAATCTAGCCTTGAAAAGAACGGGGTCAGTATTGGAAAGTAATCGTCGTGATCTGACAAACGCTGACTATATCTTTGTTGACCCGCTCCTATAACTTGTCTAGATACGACTCTGCCCACTTATAAACCTAATAGTTTGAGTGTCCCGGGCCGTTTGGGTTACCCTCTTATGTAGCTGCCCTAGAAACACCGCTGACGAGTGCTCATTTCTTTTATTTGAAGTCTCTTTGGGCGCCATCATGACATCTCTCAAGTGTAGCTTGCCCATTATCACAGCAAATCCACCGTAACTGGCCTCACACGGAGTGACGGTGTCCACACCAAGGAGTTGTTACACCTCACACGGAGTGACGGTGTCCACACCAAGGAGTTGTTACAAGTAACACGCCAACATAATATTGGAAACTTGTAAACTGGGATCGCTCAGACGAGTAATCGATAGCAAATCAATCGATTGCCCCCTGATGTCCAGTTCCTTAGCAACTGACTCAGTGGTGACAAGGGCGGTTAATGCCTGCGCAATATTCAAAGATCGATCTGCTAGGAATGAAACAACGTAAATTCAGTGGCGTGTCACGACGGAGGTATAAGGGTGGAGAGTCGGTGCAGTGGCTTGTGCCACCACATTTGGGGGAGTCGTCATGTTAATTTGTTAAAATTACTTGTTTGTCATTTCCTGAATAATTAAATTTTATAAAGATAATTTTTCAAAAGGGCAATCCAGTCGTCTCGTCCGATATTGATGAGATATATTTTTTGGAACACATCTTAAATTAAAAGTAAACACTACCAGGCAGTGACAGATACATCTCACTCTTGGTATAAAGCAGGCAGTGACAGATACTTCTCAGTCTTGCTATAACCAGGCAGTGACAGATACATCTCAGTCTTGCTATAACCAGGCAGTGACAGATACATCTCAGTCTTGTTAGAACCCGGAAGTGACAGATAATCTCAATCTTGCTATAACCAGGCAGTGACAGATTCATCTCAATATTGCTATAACCAGGCAGTGACAGATACATCTCAGTCTTGTTAGAACCCGGCAGTGACAGATTCATCTCAATCTTGTTAGAAACCGGCAGTGACAGATATATCTCACTCTTGTTACAACCAGACAGTTACAGATTCATCTCAATCTTGTTAGATCCAGACAGCGACAAATAAATCTCACTTTTATTAGAACCAGACGGTGACAGGTATATCTCACTCTTGCTAGAACCAGGCCGTGACATGTCACATCTGATTCTTGCTATAACCAGACGGTGACAGATACATCTCACTCTTGATATAATACAGTTGGCAAGTTTTTGTTTTTTTTAAAGATAAATAAATCGCAAGA